AATGGGCCAATAAAAGAATTTAAGGAAAAAAAAAGAAAATATAAAATTGTCAAATATTGGGAATGAATTACACAAAGCTATTTCTAATACACTTATTATTTTTTTCTTTTTTTCTGGCACTGGGGATGGAACCCAGAATCCTGTGTGTGTTAGGCAAGTGCTCTAGTGCTGATCTACACCCTCAGCCTTTAAAATAATCTTTGATATAGGGTCTCACTAAGTTGCCCAGGGTGGCTTTGAACCTGTGACCCACCTCCTCCAATTAGCTAAGATTACAGGCAGCCACCACCACACCCAGTCCTATAACCAGTTAATTTTATAGTGAATAAAGTGCAGTCATTTAAAATCAAGACCAGAAGCTCTTTCATTAGAATATTTCTCCCTTGGGAGCTGATACCACATCTTTATTTTATATTCCCTGTACTTAAGATAGACCGAAGAATAAAGGATCTCTATAAATATTTGAGGAGTGGATAAATGAATAGAAAGGGCTGTATATAGTACTTTTCTCATCCTGCTTTTTAGGCTAAGTATTATAAATAAGATCTATCCTGGTCTTTGAAGTAGCTTCTTAGGCATATGGGATTAGCAAAATTACTTTCACCCAACTGTAATCAGCTCCCCAGCACACTGACATGGGGAGGAGGGTGGTGTTGCTCTGTCTGCTGTGTTCTGACCTTTAATGATGTTTCCACCCAAGCTTTTCAGGATGGAAAAATAACAGAGAGCTGAGAGGAAGAGAGGAACACGAGGGGGTCTATTATTCCATTAAAAGCTATTGTGAAAAATGAGACACTAACTTCACCGTTCGGTTTGCACAGGATTGTTGTACAATCTGGACTTGCTCTAAACGTGCTTTGTTCCTTCCAAAGAAAATCAGATGGTGGCTGATGTTTTCCTTTGGATGCTGCTGCCCACACCTGCAAAAAAACAATTTGTTAGTGACACATGCCACTGGGGTTCAACATAGCTCTGTAAATGTCCGACTTTGTCTTTCTGAACAGATGAAGTTTAAAGACAGGGTCTCATCCTGTTGCCCAGCTTCACTCCAAATGCCTGAGCTCAAGCAGTCCTCCTGCCTAAGCCTCCTGAGTAGCTGGGGCTACAAGTGTGTGCCACCATGCCCAACTTCAGATGAGGTTTTAAAATATAAAGACTATAATATATACTGCCAAGCCATGTAACACCAAACATCTACTGTAAATGATTTAAGAGACAGTAAAAGAAAAATGGAGGACCCTCTAGCATCAACAATTCCCTGTTCTGAGCAAATAACCCTTTTGCTTGTCTTCTAAGAACATGCTTGTTTAATTTTAGAAACTCAGGAATTCTGTTTAAATAATTAAATGATAAAAACAAAAGATATTATACATGAAATGGAAGAATGCTGTGGGAATTTAGCTGTGGATATTAATTTACATCCAGAAGATAGACTGAGTGGCACAATTCATCACCACCACCAGCAGCAGCATCGAGATCACATTTTATGGACAGATGGAGTGATGAAGAGGGCCATGAGGGAATCACTGGCTGACAGTGTGGGGTTTGTTCTCTACAGCATTAGCTCCCAGGGTTTACATCTCATACTCACTGTTACTGTGGAGCTGGCCCGCATTATGACATTTGGAAGGAATCGGTACAGAGAAACTGCTTGTCCTTCCACGTTTTGTTGGAGAATATGATTTCCAATCCTCACTTCTTTGTCAAGGGAAGAATTAATGAGCTTCACAAACAAACCCTTGACATTCACTTCAGCTATCTGAATGTCTCCAAGAGAACTAGAAAACAAAACACAAAGATTGTGAAGTGATTGGCATGTGTTTGGCTCATTTTAAGAATTAAATAATAAATATACCTTGGAAATTGTCCCTAAACCATATATTCTGTTAAAGAAGTTTAAATAGAAATCATGTACTTTGTAACCTAAGACAAATGGCTCGACTTCCTAGTTCAGTCTCTTTACTGGTGCAATAAAGTTGTCTATTTCATATAAAATAAGGAAAATCTAAAAGGAGTTTATGTATCAGGATATAAATGCCCAAATGAAAGTATAACTATAATGTTTTAAATTTCTACTGCCCAACATAAGCTTATTTAGTTTACTTCTGAGAAAATGTGAAGGTGACTAGTACCTACATGTTGAAAAGAATTTTAATTCTTATGCAAGCATAAAATGATGATTTTTACTTTCTAACTTGTGTTGAGAGCTTAGTATGTTCCAGGGATCTGGCTAATCATTTGTACTGGGGTTTTTCAGAGTGTGGTTCACAACCCATTTGTAGGACATGAAATCACTTTGGTGGGTTAGGACCACCATCTTAAAAATAAAGTATATCTATACCAGTAATATTAGCCAATATTACTTATGTATCAAGCAACTGAAAAAATATATCTACATCCCTCTATTTTTTTATTCATTAAGTTTACTGGCACATTTTAGGTGTACATTATGATTGCATTCATAGGGAATTTGTACCTGCACATGATATATCTTGGTTATTTTTTTCTATTCCCCTTCCCTCCCTTGAACCCCTCTACCTCTCCCTATATACAAAGGCTGTTTCCATTATTTTCTTCTTTTATTATATTTTTCTTTCCCTTCTTTCCTGTCCCCACCCCACCCCTTGACCAAAGTGTATAATAGATATTGTGAAATAGGAAGAAAATGTTCCCAAAAAAGTACATCCCTCTATTTTTATCTCTTCTTGCATTTCTATTTCTCTACAATTTCTTATCTACAGTTGCAAAATCCAAAAAGCTCTGAGCCTCCACCCAATTTTTAAAAACATATTTGAAGGAAAACATGACCCCAGACCAAAGAGAGGATATTTATAGTCTTTGTTCATGGTTTGTGTGAATATTCATATGCTTTTCTGAGGAAAGATTGTTTGATTTTTGATATTTCTGTAAATCTGATGAACATTGTATAATATGTGTTCTAGGCAATGTATTAACTTCCTAAAATCCCCAAGTACTAAACTTGCAACTATATAATTCCTTAAATATTTTGGTGAAAGCACTGTGGATTTGTAGTAATTCATTAAATTGTCACAACAACATATATATTTATATTTTTTTATAGAAGGTCATGTTTATATATTTCTTATTTCTATCTATTTCTTATTAAAGGTCACATTTTAAAACTGTGAGGAGCACAGTATTATCTCATTTAGTTCTCATAAAAATCAACTGAGAGAGCCACTATTTTCAGTTTCATTCTATAGATAAAGAGAACAGGTGCAGAGAGGCTGATTCCCATGTCCAAGGTCACTAAAAATAATGTTAGTATTTGTCGTTTCACCTCACTCAACTAGCAATATCTCAAAGAGATTTCAACCAGTCATCCAACTTTTCAACTTGTTTAAAACCCTGTACATACTCTGGTTGGTTTGGAACAGCTAGAAACACACACACACACAGAGGTGGACTGCTGCTACAAAAATATTAGTGATCTCTACCACACCAGGGCCCTTCCTGACAGCCTTCATGATTGGCAGCAAGCCGTCTTCTTCATGAGCTGAGCCAGCACCTTCTGGAACACCCAGAACCATGTCAAATCCCTGTCCCACACCTCTTTTTTCATTCTCAGCCGACCACCTCACTAAAAGACTGGTTCTCACTAAGAGAACTGCATTTTCTGCTTCCCACTTATGAACAGGTTCACCTACATGCACACCTTTTTCCAGTTCCAGCCCCTTTTGTTTCAGTGGAAGAGGGAACCTTCCTCCCATCCAAAAGGGGCCCTCTGGTTACCACTGCCTCTTGCTGCTATAGCCTTTCAGTCAATTCATCATCCTGCCTTTATCCTTTACCTTCAACATCTTCTCCTGACTGCCCTGTTCTCTCACATATGGATGTATCCTCAAAGATTACCACCTCAGAAAAGAAAACAAGCAATCATCCATGAACTTATACCTCAGACTGCCATTGCAACCCAATCTTTGTTACCAACTCGATTTTTATTCACTCCTTAGCCCCTACCACCAATGTCTGCTATAGACGCAGATGACCAGTGCCCTTCATAGTTGGTGCACTGAGTGGTAGCTCTTCAGTCCTTGTCTATGTCTCTGCAGTATTTGCTTATGGCAGATATACCCTATTTTTGAAACTACCTCTTTCTTGTTTTTCCTCCATCAGACTAATTGCTCCTTTTCAGATTTCTCTTCCTTTACCCATCGCTCAGATGCTGACCTTAGGATTCTATTCTCAGGCTTTATTCTCAACATTCTTCATAGATATGACATTGCCCATGAACAGTGCTTCAATAGCCATCATTACCCCCAGTGATCAGGAGAGGAAAATCTATTACCTGGGCTTTTCTGCTGAATTTCAGACTTGTACAAACAACAGGTCACAAGACCCCAAAGGAACTTCTGAAATCATCATTCTGCCTGTTGTGAGTCTGCTCCTGAAGTGGAAAACTATTCCAGTGCATTACACCATTCTTGGTGCTCTCCATGCTGGAAGCTTTCATGGCTTTCCTCTCCTGTATCCTTCTTGCTTTGTCTATGACCAAGTCCTGTGGATTGCATGTCTTTAGTTTCTTCTGTGTGCATCAGCTTCTCTCCATGTGAATGGCTGCTGTCTCCATTAGGCTTTTCATCATTTCATCATTTCATCATTTCCGCAGCATCCTAACTGGTTTCTCCAGTTGCCTGCTCTGGTCCATTCTCCATTTTGTTTCCAGAGAAGTCTTTGTACAATCTAAATTTGACATCACCACTTCCCTGCTGGGAATCCTCAAATGCTTTACGGCTTCTTTCCAGGGAAAAGTACAGAAACCAGGCCCTAGTAGTCTGTCAGCCTCTTTAATCTCCTTTCCCTACTTCCTACCTCATGTTTAAACTGAAATCACAAAGAATTCCTTGCAAGAGCGTAAGTCATGCTGCTGCAAAATTTACAAACTGTCTATGCAGATGCGGTCCCTTCATCTTGTTCTCCGTATCCTTACCCACATGCAAATTTTAGACTTCTTTGTTTCAGTAGTAACCAGGATGCAAATGGTATCTCATTATTTTAATTTATTTTCCCCTGATTACAGTGCAGTTGAATAAACTACTTTTTGGTCACCTTGTTTTCCTCGTTTGTGAATTTCCTTTTCATATTATTATTTTGCTCACTTTTCTATCAGTGGTTTTATATTTTTATGATTGATGTATTGTAGGTGACCCCAGGGTCCCTGGCCCCCTGCTGGGGCACCACCTGTGACTAGATCACCCAGCCAGACTTGCTCCTGGCCCCAGAGCCACTACTTTGTTCCTCCCTGAGCCAGGGGCGAACAAGGATGAAACAGAGACATAGAGTCAGCTCAACATGTAGGCCACAAGAGGACTCTTGGCTCCAGCAGGCAGAGGAACCCCAAGCCTTTGGCTCCTCTTGTCTTTATTCACCCAAACACGGGCACAAGCAGTCAAAGTAACACGAGACTCATCTGCTTTCCACTGTCCATCAGTACATTCCCGGTAAGCAACTTAACCTCAGCTGTCTTAAGTTTTCCCTAATAGGCAATCACCCCTGAGCGCAGCCTCTCCTTTGTGCTCCCAGAGGAGGAGAATTAGGGCCTAATTCTACAATGTATAGTATTTATAGGATAGTATTTAATGTATGCACACATATTCTACAAGGAGAAGCTTTTTAAAAATTTCATCAGTGATGTCTTTTATGATATAGTTTAAACTAAAATTTTTACTGTGATGAAATTTATCAATCTTTCTCTTACAATTTCTACTTTTGTGTTTTATATAAGAACTCTCTGTATTCTTCTGGTTTTGGGGTGGGGAGTAGTATTGGGGGATGAATGCAGGGTCTTTGCACTCAGCTATCTCTCTAACCCCCTTTTTATTTGACAAAGGGTCCTGCTAACCCCTAAATTACCCACACTGGGCTCAAATTTGCAATCTTCCTGCCTAGTCTCCTGGCGTGAGGGATAATAGGCATATTTTACCATGTCTGGCTTCTTTCCCTACCCTTATGTCATATTTTCTTCTAAATATCTCAAGGATAGGCTTCTCATACCCTTAATTTGTATATGTATCATCTGTCACCCATCTATTGATTGATCTAGCTTATCTATTTATCTATCTATATCTCAGATATGCCTCCACCTATAATGGAGTTACCACCTCCTGATAAACTTATTATAAATTGAAAATAGCATAAGTTAAAAATGCACATAATACACTTAACCTACTGAACATCCTAGCTTAGCAACACAGTGCACTGCAGAGCTGCAGCTATTTGTCTTCATGATAATGTGGCTGCCTGGAGCTGCCACTCACTGCTGCTCCCCAGAATCAGAGGAGTGTTAGATGGTACACTGCTGGCCCAGATGAAGGTCAAAATTCAAAGTATGATTGTTATTAAATGTGTATTATTTTTACACCATTGCAAAGTAGAAAATTTTTAAGTTAGACCATTTTAAGGGACTGTATATGTATTTGTGCACATATGTGTGTATATGTATATGTATTTGTGGGCATATGTGTGTTTTTCATAGAGGAAGCTAATTTTCCCAGGTATGTTTATTAAATTGTCCATAATCTCCCTACTAATATTTTTTTTGGTGGTACTGTGGATTGAACCCAGGGTTTCATGCATGCTGGTCAGATGTTCTACCACTAAATTGTATCCCCAGCCGTTTTTTTTTTTTTTTAAATTTTGAGGCGAGGTCTCCCTGAGATTCCCAGGCTGGCTTCTAACTTGCAATCCTTCTACCTTAACCTCCTAAATGGCAGGGATTATATGTGTTTGCCACCAATCCCAGTTCTCTGCTGATTTT